CCCCACATCAGGAGACCCTGAAGGAAGTTTTCCAAAAGGTTACATCCCTTTTGGAGGAGCAAGGACTCCACATAGCCTCGAATAAAGTACAAACATCTTCCATGGTGAAATTTTTGGGGACTATAATCACCCCTGAAAGCATCAGGCCTCAGAAAGTGCTTATTCGCACCCATCACCTTAAAACTCTTAATGATTTCCAGCAGTTGCTGGGAGATATAAATTGGATTAGAGGATATTTAAATATACCTCGATCTGAGCTCTTGCCTTTATTTTCCATCTTAGAAGGCAATCCTGATATCTGTTCACCTAGAGCCATGACCCCGGCTGCAATGCAGGCCCTTAAGAGGGTAGAATCTGCTATTACTACAGCTCAATTACAGCGAGTGAATCCATCCTTACCAATTTTGCTATGCATTCTCAAAACAAAGAATTATCCCACTGGAGTGTTATGGCAAGATGGACCCCTCTGGTGGATGCATGGAAATTCCATAGGAGCAAGATCTGTTCAATATTATCCAGAATTGGTGGCTGGCCAAGCATTAATGGGAATAAAGCTTTGCTTAGCCCACTTTGCGAGAATGCCTGACAAGTTGATAATTCCCTATACGAGGGAACAGGTAGAAGTTTTGACAGCCACAGTACATGGCTGGGCTATCCTGCTTTGTGCATTCCCTAATGTTATTGACAATCATGTGCCAAGGCACCCCTTAATAAATTTTGTGGAGAAAAATTTGGTGTATTTTCCCAGGATTACCTCGCCCCACCCATTAGAAGGAGCCATAACTATCTATACAGATGGCTCAAAGACCGGAAAAGGGGCTCTGGTGGCAGAAAATGCTAAACCTGTGGTCTTTCAATTTCGGCCTGATTCCCCCCAAGTCACTGAGTGCTTGGTGGTTTTGGAGGTGTTTCAGAGATTTCTTGAGCCATTTAATTTAATTTCAGATTCACAATATGTGGTCAATGCTGTGGCCTCTCTTGAGGTTGCAGCCTCAATTCGCAGCTCAAGTACAGTGTCTAATATTCTTTTACAAATACAAAAACATATTTTAAAAAGAGAAAATCCCTTTTATGTTGCTCATATTCGAGCCCATTCTCTCTTGCCAGGACCTATGGCAGAGGCTAATGCTCAAGCTGATGGTGCTACTCGAGCACTCGCCCTTGTGGCTACAGATTCACTCCAGCTAGCTAGAGATTTCCATCAGCTTTATCATGTTCCAGCGAATACACTTCGCTTAAAGTTTAAGATCTCTAGGGAAAATGCAAGGAGGATAGTAAAAGCCTGTCCCTCCTGCGTGACCATGTTACATCCCCCACATATTGGGGTAAATCCCAGGGGGTTAAAACCAAACTCACTCTGGCAAATGGATGTGACTCACATCTCGGAGTTTGGCAGACAAAAGTATGATCATATGTCGGTGGACACATGCTCTGGAATAATTCATGCCACCCCACTGGCAGGGGAAAAGGTAACTCATGTAAAAATGCATTGCTTAGAGGCCTGGGCAGCTTGGGGAAAGCCAAGTCGTTTAAAAACCAACAATGGCCCAGCATATGCCTCACAGGGCTTTAAAGCCTTTTGCAAGCAATTACAAGTTGAACATACCACTGGCCTACCATACAATCCTCAAAGCCAGGGTATCATAGAAAGAGCAAATAGAAATTTAAAGGAAATTTTGCGAAAGCAAAAAGGGGGAATAGCTATAGCAGCTTCCCCCAGAGAAAGGATTTCTCTTGCACTCTTTACACTTAATTTTTTAATTCAAAATATTGCTGGAAAAACAGCAGCAGACAGGCATGCCCTGTTTGAAAGCTCTACAGAGTGAGATTTGGTCATGTGGAAGGATGTATTGATTAATAAATGGTGTGGACCGGATCAGGTAATTACCAGATCCAGGGGAGCAATTTGCATTTTCCCTCAGAATCGTGAAGATCCAATCTGGGTGCCAACGAGACTGACAAGAGAAATAAAGAAGAAAGATGATCCAGTGGATGCTGAGTGTCCTGCTGTGGAAGATTCGTGCGGAGGCAGCAGAGATGACACCCTGGGCGGTGTCAAGAGCAACTGTTTCACGTTATCACCTTGAGCAGCACCCTGTGCAACCTCTTATCTCTTAACAATTTTCTGACTGACTCTATTCTGCCTTTCTCCCTCCTTGGGGATAGGTGGGAGCAGAGATATCCTTGGCATGCTGTGTCTAGGTGGAAGTGCTGTATGTCTTTGATTGGTGTGCTACCTGCTAGCCCAAGTGAGGAGGGACAAGGTCTTTGTGACACAAGCCTTGGCAGTCTTGGAATGTGTATCCTCACCCCAGGTTTGGCTCTCAGCCTCAAAAGAGCTCACAGGCAATTAGCCATGCATAGCCTTTGCACCCTCTAGGGACCAGATAGTCCCACGGCACAGAGGAAGGTATGCATAGGCGGAGGGTGTGCAGACACAGCCCTAGCACTCCCAGGGAAGTAGTTGTCCCATTGCACGGGAAGGGTGTGTCTTGCTTTTCTTTTCTTTAATCAGTCCACACATCATGAGGTGGGGACCAGATTGGAAAATAGTTTTGCCTTATTGCTCTTAATGACAATAAAAGGAGGAGCTGTAGGGAGCCGCCTGGATGTCGCCTTGGCCAGATAGTGCCAGCAGTCCTTCAGCCTGGAGGTATACATATCCTTTGATGTTGCTGCCTTGGGCGGGTGTGCTCGAGCCTTGTTTTGCATTGTTTTGCATCTCAAGAGACTCGGTCTCCTGACCTGTCCCATGGCCTTGGGTCCTAGTAGAATGGCATCAACCAATCAGCATTCGAGCCTCTCACCCTAGAAAAGCGGCTGTCTTTGGATTTTTCTCTCTCTCTCTCGTCATCCCTGTTCCCCATTCCCCCTTTCAAGCAAGGAGCTCTAATAAATTGTGATTGAGAAGGATTCTTGATTTTGTGATCGTCCTTTCCTGCTGGTCAGGAAGCGCGTCACAAGCCAACAGCATGCTTCTTGGTGGTGGTATAGACCTTAAAACTCCATAGAGTTCTGGCAGTAAGGATGGCTCCCACGAGTACCTCCACCATGAAGTTAGTCTCTCAGAAAGGTAAGGACTTGGGTGGATCCAGTCACCAAAGCCACAGCTTTAATCCTAGCCATATTCCTTAGCAACTTAAAGACTCATTGGTTAGAAAAAGAGAGATATACAGTAAAGATAGATTCAGAAAGATAAACTTCAGATAAAAGTTTAGAGTGTATTTAAAAATATATACAGCCATGGGAGAGAAAAGAAAAAAAGGATAAAGTATTAAGAAAAAAAAGGAGAGAAAGAGGATAGTTAGGCATGGTGGCACAAACCTTTAATCACAGTACTTGGGAGGCAGAGGCAGACAGATCTCTGTGAATTTAAGGACAGTCTGGTCTGCAGAGTGAGTTTCAGGATATCCAAAGATACACAGAGAAGCCTTGTCTCAAAAAACCAAAAGTTAAAAATAAAAGAAATAGAGTTTAAAATAAAGCCATGTAAAGATAGGAAATACACAGAAAGTCTGGATACTATATATTATTGTGTTTTTTTAATTGTATGACTGCTGAGGAAGAAGCATAACCTGCCAAAAGGCATTTGATTATAAATGTTGCTGGATTAATCCAACATATGTATTTTGAACATACCTTGACTTCAAAATTTAAGTCCAAAGATATGTTACTTTGAATAAGAGATTTTGCTTTAGTTTCCACAGGAAATGAGAGGCTCTAGATTCATTCTGGGCTATGAAAAATAAGGTTTGTTCATGGAAGACTCCCTGAGATATCTCTGCTGGTACAGATAGCCCAGTAGTCTGAGTTCCACATCCAGAATAGCCTCAAGACTGTTGGCTGAGATGATCAAGCCTCACAGAATATTCCAGTCAGGACTTTAGCATAATTAAAAATTTTCTTTAGGTCCCTATAAGATTATCAGTGCCTTCATTTAGAAGGAAATTATCTGGAACACTATGCCCGCATTCCCAAAAAATAGATTATGGATATTTTTCTTTGTTTAGAGTGTTGGTTGCAAGTTGTTATCAACAATGGTCATGAAAAAAGCTAAACAAAGGAGATAAGATTTAGAGTTCTTATTTTCCAAAGAAAATGGGGGTGCTGCGGAACAATGATCTTATACCCTGTAATGATTTATCAGTTATATTGTTTGAATAAAATGCTAATTGACCAGTATCCAGGCAGGAAGTATAGGTGGGGCAATAAGGAAAAGAGAATTCTGGGAAGAGGTAAAGCAGAGTCTACAGTCGTCACCCACATATAGAGGAAGCAAGATGAGAATGCCTCACTGATAAAAGATGGCAAGCCACATGGCTACCACAGATAAGAATTTTGGGTTAATGAAGGATGTAAGAGTTAATAAGAAGCCTGAGCGAATACGCCAACCATTTATAATTAATGTAAGCCTCTGTGTGTCTCTTTGGAACAGAACAGCTGTGGGGCCAGGCAGGTCAGAAACCTCTGTAAACAAAGTGGGACCAAGCAGGTCAGAAAACTCAGGCAAAATGTAAATTATTGTCAATTGATTTTACTGGTTCTTTCCCAATCTTAGTAATAAGCCAGACTTCAAAATAGAGCACATAGGTAGTTTTCTCTTTATCAGTTTCAAATCTATCTTTCCACACAATTGTGATGAGTTGAAATACTTTTCCAGTAAATGTGAACAAGACTTAAATATTTGTCTGTAAAGTAGGATGAAGCATCTTCTGAGAATTGATCTTAAGTAATTTCTTCATACACATGTTGCTATGGTGAAAAAAGCCCACCATGTTTTTATAAAGGAAACATTACGCTGGGTCATGAACTGTCACAACTGACATGTCTTCTCCACTACCTCAAAGTTATTCTACAAAATAATGTAGCATTTAATTAACCCGCTACATTCTTTTCTTTTTTGTGAATTGCTGTGGTGTATAATTAATCTTATGAGGTGGTATTTTAAATCTCACTGAGATAAATAATAAGGCTTTCAGCTGCCTAAAGGAAACTCATATGTGCATACCTGGCAAAGTTGATACAATGAGCAGAAAGAAAGCTTTTTTTCCAGGGAGAGGTTTACATATAAGAGTCCGAATATGATTGTCCCTGGATTTCTCTCAAATGTAGGAAATTTGATACAGTAATTTTTGGTATTGAGGAATTGTGTTCTTGCTATCCTCTGATATTTATGTTCTGGGCATGTGAACACATGTCTTTAATCCTAGCATGAAGCACAGGTGATGGCTACCTGATCAACACAGGATGTTCCAGATGAAACTGTTCTATATAGAGATACCCTGTCTCAGTTCCTGGCCCACCCCCGAATAAAAATGTTAACTCATTTGTCAAAGCATAATTCACAAAATAAAGCTGTTATTATGAGAAGAGATTTTATTCAACAAGCTCACCAATGAAGTTGTCTGAAGTCTGTAGAGAACCTTGTAAAAGTCCCTCACAATCTCCATGACTGCAGCTATGCTCCATAGCAGAATTAAAATCATCTACCAATTTGTGTAATCAGCTGAGCCTACCTGTGAGCTTCCTCTTGACATATGCTCCCTCAAAACTTGAAAATAAGCACCCAAACACATCCACATATTAGCCTCAAACTTAAAAATTCTTTCATGTACTGTGGCATTGTGGAACTTATCCAGGCATTTTCTCAATTGAGGCTCCTTCCTCTCTGATGACTCTAACTTGTTTCAAGTTGACATAAAACCAGCCAGCACACATGCCAAGTGAAAAGGCATCAGACTTTTCTATACTAATTGATATATTAAAAATTATCAAAATAACACAGCGTAGTTCTGCCAGATTAAAAATACTGGTGACTGGATGCTAGTGTTTACATTCATTTTTAACCACAGAAAGAATATCTAAAATAATACCTACAGACAGTCAATTAATTAACTTCAAGAATAGAGTCATTTTCTAATAATGTGCTGACATTCTTTTTAAGCCCATAACTTTTTAATCATTGAAAATTAAATTAATTACTTCACTCTTCTGAGAATACTTTAATTATTTCATAACGTATGAGCAGGCTTGATGAACTTTCATTGTCCTTTCTTTTCAAAACAACAAGTAACACAAAACATGTGAATATGACCAACTCTTAAACAGATATATTAAACTAACTATTGGGAGGATAGGGTACTTCCCACTTTCTCTTCTCTGAGGTTCAGTGTGACTGGATTTATGTTAGGTCTTTGATCCACGTTGCCTTGAGTTTTGTGCATGGTGATAGATGTGAATCTACTTGAGTTCTTCTACATGTAGACATTCAGTTATGTCAGCACCATTTGTTGAAAATGCTGTCTTATTTCCATTGTATAATTTTAGCTTCTTTGTCAAAAAACAGATGTTCATAGGTATGTGGATTAATATCAGGAACTTCAATTAGATTCCATTGATCCACCTGTCTGTTTTTGTGTAAATACCAAGCTGTTTTAAAATCTATACCTCTATAGTATAGCTTGAAGTCAGGGATGGTGATGTCTCTGGAAGTACCCTTCTTTTACAGGACTGTTTTATCTATCACAGTTTTGTTTAATTTTCCATCTGAAGTTGAAAGTTGTTCTTTCATGGTTTGTGAAGAATTGTGCTAATATTTTGATATAGATTGCATTGAATCTGTAGGTTGTTTTGGTAAGACTGCATTTTTATTATGTTGGTCCTACTTATTCAAAGGTATGGGAGATATTTCTATTTTCTGGCATCTTTTTGATCTCTTTCTTTAAAGACTTAAAGTTATTGACATACAGGTCTTTAACTTGTATGGTTAGAGTTACCCCAATTTTACATTGTTTGTGGCATTTGTGAAAGGGTAATGCTTGTCTGAATTCTTTCTTGCTCATTTATCATCTGAATATAGGAGGACTACTGATTTATTTGAGTTGATCTTGTATCCTACCACATTCCTGAAGGTGTTTATCAGCTGTAGGAGTTCCTTGATAGATTTTTTCTTTTATCATTTTTTATTGATTTTATAGAGTTATACATTTTTCTCTGTCCCCTCCCTTCTTTTTCCATCCCCTTCAACCCTCTCCCATGGTCCCCATGCTCCCAGTTTACTTGTATTTTTCTACTTCCCATATAGATTATATCCATGAATCTCTCTCTTAGAATCCTCATTATTGTCATGCCTCTGTGGAACTGTGAATTGTAGGCTGGTTTTCTTTGCTTTATGTCTAAAAGTCACTTGTAAGTGAGTACATATGATATTTGTCTTTCTGGGTCCCCTGATAGAATTTCGTGGGTCTGTTATGCAAGCTATCATGTCATCTGCAAATAGTGAAAGTTTGACTTCTTCCTTTCTAATTTGTATCCATTTGATTTCCTTTTGTTGTATAACTGCTTTAACTAGAACATTGAATAAAATATTAAATAGATATGGAGAGAGTGGACAGCCTTATCTTCTTTCTGATTTTAGTGGAATCGATTTGAGTTTATCTACATTTATTTTGATGTTGACTGTTGGCATTCCATATACTGTCTTTATTATGTTTATTTATGTTCCTTGTATCCATTATTTTTCCAAGGCCTTTATCATAAAAGAGTGTTGGATTTGGTCAAAGGACTTTACCACATCTAATGAGACGATCATGATTCTTTTTATTTTCTTAAAGTTTGTTTATATGGTGGATTATACTGAAGGGTTCTTATATGTTGAACCCTCGTTGCATGTGTTCAATGAAGCCAAACTAAACATCACAGAAGAGAAAGTTGTAAGTAACCTTGAACACACTGACACAGATGACCACTTCCTAAATATAACATCAGTAGCAAAGACACTGAGAACATGCTTAAATAGATGTTATCTCATGAAACTGAGAAGCTTCTGTAAGGCAAAGGGCACAGTCAAAAAGACAAAATGACACCTTACAGAATGGGGAAAAAAATCTTCACAAACCCCATTTTGGAAAGAGAACTGATCTTCAAAATGTACATAGAACTCAAAAAACTAGATATCAAAATGCAAAATTATCCCATTAAAAATGGGGTACAGATCTAAAACAGAGAATTTCATCAGAGGAATCTCTAATGCCTGAAAGACACTTAGGAACTATGCAACATCCTTAGCCTTCAGGGAAATGAAAATCAAAACAAATCTGCTTCTTCTAGTGAACAGTGTTCTTACAAAGATTTCTATTTCCTTGGTTTCAATAAATCTCTGTTCTTACAAATTTTCTCATCAAATTCCAGGGGTACAAATTTCTCAAGCTAGTGTCTAAATCATAAAAATCTATACATTCACATGAAAAAATGGGTTACTTTGCTTAAATTTGTCTACCTTGGTTAAGTGTTCAAAGTTATACTTTTCAACATAAAGCTATGTAAATTTATTAAGTTATTTTAGCCCACAATGTAAGTTCACTTGTATTCCAGTTTACTGATAAGAAAATGTCAAAGATTAAGCATATTGTTCTTTTTAAAAAATATTTTATTTATTTTACATACCTACCATAGTTCCCATTCCCTCCCCTCCTCCTGCTTGACCATCCCTCCTTCCACTCCTCAGAGAGAGTAAGACTTCCCATTAGGAGTCAAAAATCCTGGTAGATCAAACTGAAGCAGGACAAAGTCCCACCCCTGTATCTAGGTTGAGAAAAATATCCCTGCATAGGGAATGGGTTCCAAAACGCCAGATCATACATCAGGGATAAATGGTTCCACTGCCAGGAGCCCCACAAACAAGCAAAGCCATACAATTATCACCCACATTCAGAGAGTCTTGTATGGTCCCACGCAGGCTCCCCAGTTCTCAGTCCAGAGTCTATGAACTCCCTCTAGCTCCAGTCAACTGTGTGAAAGGGATATTTGATTGGGAGAGGGACAGCGAGGGAGAGCAATGAAAAATATATCTTGATAGAGGAAGCAATTGTGGGTTTAAGAAGAAACTATTGCTAGGGAGATTCCAAGGAATCTATAAGGATGACTCCAGCTATGACTCTTAGCAATAGTGGAGAGGTCTCTCCTGTCATCAGATTGGTTACTATCCTAATTGCCATCATAGAACCTTTATCCAGTAACTGATGGAAGCAGATGCAGAGGGCCACAGTCAAGCACTGGGCCAAGCTCCTGGATCCCAGTGAAAGAGAAAGAGGAGGAATTATATGGGCCAGGGGTGTCAAGAACATGTTATTCTTTTTAAAAGATAAACACAATGATAAGGAATATCCCAAAATATGTGACAATTCAAACTTTCTCAAGAATCTTTGTGTTTGGCCAGGCAACTGAAAGTGACACAGTGAATCATGCTCACAATGACATATTAGCTTGTTATCCATCCCCAGCATCATGCTTTGATTCGGCAAACAACACTGTTGTGTGATCCAACTCCAAGAAGATTCCAACCTAACCCTTGAGGACCACACAGTAGAATTCTGTGTCACTTAATCATGTCTGGTGTTCATTGCATTAAAATTACTTCATTAAAAATGTCTTCTTGAGGGCTCAATAGAATGGAGTGGTTTCATAAAGGAGAGAAGAATTCAAGAGTTTCACATGGGATAGTGAAGCAACAGAAGTTTTAGTGGGCGTGTTGACCTTTACGTTTGTGGGAACAAAAGACAAAATAATTAAACAACATCATGATCCCACTCAACAGAGATTGAAACTGTGGAGGCCTGTTGTGAGCTGGAATCCCGGAAGAGAAATAAACAAGTAAGGACTGGTCACTTCTCTTTTGTTTTTCTCCCAAACTTTTATATTTCTACTGGCTAAGGTGGGGGTGACACAGGATCCCGGAAAAAAAATGTAACAATCCAGTTCCTACCAGAGCAAATTGGGCTGCCTGAAATTCAGGGAGATTTTGAAATCAGAGGTCAAGACTAAAAAGGCATTCCTGTCATAATCTGTCTTCAAAGATGGGGAGTACGCATTTTTCTCAGATAGCATAGAAGCCCTTTGTTTTCTTATTTTTTAAATCATTCTTGTTCAGAGAATGTAATTTTTTTAGCACTTAGATTTATGGTTCAATCACAGATCTGTGAATCTGGAAGTTATTTCAATGAATAATCTAATAATTTAAAACCATTTCCATGGATATTAAAACTGAAGAAAGCCCATGCCTTTTATTGTTATTGAAGGGACACTTGTTATTTTATGTACATAGCACATCATAAAGACATTAAGTCATGAGAAAGGATAGAGTGTAGGCATAAGGACATATTAATTAT